ATATTACAATTTTCAGAATGTGAGTCTAAGGACATTTTTCTGGCGGAGTAAAAACAGAGTCTGTTTCTCCAGAGTGGCATGTACTTCAAATATTTAGAAAAGACTAATGTTGTTACTTTTCAAATTACTCAAAATAAATAAACAAGACTGGAGAGATGGCTTGGTGTTTAAAAGCACTGACTGCTCTTCCAAAAGACCCGGGTTCGATTTCCAGCACCCATATGGCAACTCTAGTCCCAGGGGATTTGATGGCCTCTTCTGGCTTTCATGGGCAATGTATGTACATGGGATACATACATACAGGCAAAACATCGTACACATAAAAAGCTAAGTGAATGAATGAAAAAAAAAAAGACCAACTACCCTAAAGACAAAGTCTTGCTTACCTGCATTCAGAAACACACCTAGAACTTGGCTGATCTAGCAAGTACAAGTACAAGCAGAGCTATCATAATCCAAGAGAGCAGAAGGCCACAGCAAGGACACTGGATACTAATAAAAATTCAGTACTGGCAAACACCCGTGGAACTCCAGTGTTGGGAGAACACACTCTACAATCACCTAAGAAATTTGAGATTATTCTAAAAGGTTTCTCTTCTTTGGGCTGCAATTGGCATTACACATCTGGACAGACTTCTGTTGTATTTCCCTCTGTTTATTTTATTATTATTTATTATTTGTTTTTTGAGACAGGGTTTCCCTCTGTAGCTTTGGGCCCTGTCCTGGAACTCACAGAGATCTACCTGCTTCTGCCTCCCCAGTGCTGGGTTTAAAGGTGTACACCATTACCGCCTGGCTCCCAAGGTCATGAGCTGTAAGAAAATATGCCTACTGTGAACTCTTGATAATCCTCCTGCTTCAGCCACCTGCATGCTGGGATCAAAGGTGTGACCACAATACGTGGCCCTTCCCTCTCTCTCTACCCCCTCTCTTCCTCCTTTCTTTCAAATGAATATATGGAGGCACCAGAATAAGCAGATAATATGTTGAAAGAACTAGTTTTAAATAATTTATCTATTGTTGAATATGTGTGTGTGATGTTAAAAAAAAAAAAAAAAAAAAAAAAAAAAAAAAAAAAAGAAAGAAAGAAAAAAGAAAAAAAAAAAGAAAAAAAAAAAACCCAAAACATAATAAAACTTAAAACCCCCCAAAAACCAAAACCAAAGATCACTTTTGTGTGCCTAGGAGGACAGACAGCTCAGCTGGTAAAGTTCTGCCTAGATAAGGGTGAGGACTCCAGAATCTACTTTAAAAACAGAGGTAGTGGTGCCTCCTTGCAGGTAGATAGATTCTTGGGAGTTGCTGGCTGGCTTGCCTAACCTAACAAGTGATCCCTAGGTCTCAGTAAGAGACTTTGTTTTCCAAAAACAAGGTGGACAGCTCCTGAAGAACATTACATGCTGACCTCTGGCCTCCACACACATGAACACACACATACTCCACACACATGCATCTGTACACACATAAACACACAATACAACAATCACTTTTCATTTCAATCTACTGCACATATCTGTCTCCTGGAAAAATTCTCTACACAGTCATTTATATTTTGCAATAGGCTCTCCTGTAGCCTAAGATAGCCTTGAACTTGTTATACAGACAAGGCTGGTCTTGAACTGATCTTCCTACCTCTTTCCCAAGTGCTGGGTTACAATTAGCATCCCTCCATACCTAGCTCTGCATGGATATATTACTTGTGATTTTAATTTGAGGCTTGAAAAGGGAGGTAGCCCCCAAAAGTAGTAGAAAAGGAATAAAAGTTCAAGGGGGCTAGAAGGCACTGTTTCTCCACAAGCAGATAGTTTACAATCTTTCATCAATGAACTAACCTTCGGTGAAATTGCAGTGTGAGAGGATGTGATAAAGAAAGCCGAGTCTCTACAGGGTTACCACATGTTCAGTGTGTGAAAACAATCAGGCAAAGAGAGAAGCCTAACAGCAGCCAAAGTGTGAGAAACAACTGGAAGAGGCTGGAAGTTTGCCATGAAAACTGCTCACCTGTGCACAAACCTGATGCATGACATGACCGAACTCATGGAAGAAAGTCCGCACTTCATCGTGTCTCAGGAGAGAGGGCCTGCCTGCTACCGGCTGTGAGAAGTTAACCACCAGGGCGGCCACAGACATCATCCGGCTGCCATCAGGGAGAAGGCAGCCTGGCTGGAGACCAAAGCAGGCTGCATGGTTGTATTTTCCTTCCCTGGGAGACAGAAACAAAGGACAGTGAAATGGACACTCTTCTTTAGCAAAAACATGTCATGGCTTCTTCCAGGCATTATGCCATACTCAACTCCAGAAAAGGCTTTCACGTGTTTAGTTCACCTTTTAAAAAACAGGCCACTTCACCCTATGGAAAAAGTAAAATTAAACAGTGACCCAGCCTTCTAGGTTTTTTGTTTGTTTTACCTTAATGTTTAATGTGGTATGTATTATTTCTGTATCAGTTTTTCCCCTGTATTCCCCCTACCCCCAACCAATACCTTTCAAAGAAAAGAAACAATTTTGGTCATTATTTAGATGCATAAAATTGGGCAGGGATTCGCTCCTGTCTTGACTCTATCCTGGACATTCTATGAATTCCAGCTTTTCTGAACCTACCAGAGAACTGCTGTGGAAGGACAATGAACAAACTCACACTGCAGCACAGGTATCTCCAAGGACAGTGGAGAGGAAGTACCCTTCAACCCCCCTTAAGTTAGGGCAGACACTGGACACAATGTCAGTGCTGGAGTAGACAAAATACGGAACAGCAGGGTTGCAGGTAAGGGAAACGCAGCATCATTTGCAGTATCAGACTTTCCACAGAAAAGGGATGGGCATACACTCTTGAGACAGCATCAGTCAGGGAAGGGTGTGAAGCGTCACTAAGGTGCTTTTTCATTTGCTCCTACAGACCATGGGTGTTAATATCCCCAGGAAGGAAAAGACCCTGCTGTTAGAACAGCAGTGCCAACCCAAAGCTCTTGGGGAAGAGAACAGGAAAAAGCTTCAATGGGTCAGAAATACCCCACATGCTTGGACTTATAGCTGTAAGTCCACTGACCAGGCCCCACTCCTAAAACACAGGACACAAAGGCTACTCTAATTAAGGTTGATGCTGGCTGGGTGTGGCGGTGGCACACACTGGATCCCAAGTATCCAGCAGGTAACACAGAAGTATCAAGAGTTTGAGTTCAGTCTGGAGTATTTAGCGACACCCTGTCTCAGGAAAAGAAGAAACAACAAAGGAGAGACTGATGGTGGATCATAGCAATAGAGCTTCCACCCCTTCACCAGGCTAGTAAACAGCCAGTGACAAATCATGGCAGCCCACTGCTTTTAGAGAGCTTGGGTGAAGACCGGCTTTGAGGAAGAACACGGAGATGCAGTGAGAAGTGGAAGAAAATCATGAAAAACTTGGGCAAATCAATTCTAAACACAACCTAAAACAAGGGGAAGTGCAGCACGTGGAGGTTAATCAGGCAGCGGGAGCTCTGCAACCTACCTGACTACTAAATGAGCCAACATCCCAGATGAAAAGTCCAGCAAAAGTACATGTGAGGCCAATTTTCGGCATAAAATTATTAACTTTGGTCTTCACTGTCCTATTCACATGCAAAGCAACAAGGGACCCGTCTTCACACATGATAGCTATGAGTACATTTGAAATGACAAAATAACAAGACTAAAAAGCCAAAAGGTTTGAATGCTAGTTAGGTACAGTCAGGTGGATAATTTTGGCAGAGTTGGAAACTATGTGACAGACTATTAGGAACATGGTGGATCACATCTGTAATTCTAGCACTCTGGGTATTTAAGGAGCCCATCAGTAGTCCTGGTAAGTCCTCTTGGAGTGAACTGGAAATGTATAAACAGGTAAATAGAGGAGCATGAGTGCACATATCCTGTTATCTTGTGTATTCTTTGGTATACTATAATATACTGTATGGACGTGACGAGAGTGTAAAATGACTGTCAATGCAATGAAGAAGCAATAGGTAAATACTTTCCCCTAAAAAAATCTTAGAATTTAAAAGTTTTTTTATCTTAAAATGAAAGACTTCCTGCTAATTTTTAATTTCTGTCAGGCTTTAATCTTCTTTGCTTTTTACATACATTTATTTTAAGTTTACTTTGATTACTAATGGGTATGTGCATGCCATGTGAGCAGGTGCCTGAGAAGGCCAGGTGTTGAGTCTCCAGGGCCTGGTTGTGAGCTGCTTGATGCTGGGTGCTGGGAACTGAACTCTGGTCCTCTGGAAGAGTGGTAAGTGCTCCTCACTGAGCATCTCACTGGACCCTGTTTTTCTTTTCTTTTTGTTGAGATTTTATTTATTTTTATTTCATGGGTGTTTACTGGAATGTATGTCTGTGGACCACAAGCATGTAGTGCCCATGGGACAAGAAGAGGGGGTTGAATCCCTGGGACTGGAGTTATAGATGGTTGTGAGCAACCAATGGGAGGGAACTAAGCCCAGGTCCTCTGTAAGAGCAGCTAGTGCTCTTTCCAGCCCTTATTCTTTCCTTTTTAAAAATAAAATTGAGGTTGGGCATGTTGCCATGTGCCTTTAATTCCAGAACTCAGGAGGCAGAGGCAGGAGAATTTCTTTGAGTTTGAGGCCAGCCTGGTCTACATAGCTAGTTTCAGGACATCCAGAGCTACACAGAGAAACCCTGTCTTGAAACAACCCCCAAACAAAACAAAACAAAAAACCCAAACAAACAAAATTTAGTAATTACGTTCATTCTAAGATTATGCCCCTTCATGTTGTGTTTATAAAGTGATAAAGACTGAAAGTCCTTACCTGGCAGTTTTATATTGAAATCATAAGATTTTGTTTGTTTGAGAATCTCAGTATTTGATATATAAAAATCAAATGTGATTAAAAAAGAAAAACACAAGTCTTTAAAGATTCCACTCTGATTATTGTTCCTGAGTCAGACAAATAAAACAGTTCATCTATATTTTACCTGTATGCAAAGGCTGTGACAGAAAATGAACACGAGCTAGGTCGTTATTCTCACAAAAGAGGCAGAAAACTTTGTGTTCTCCACAAAGTTTCTGGTAGCAATGACCAGACCTCTGAATATGAAACAAAGCAAATACATGGCAGAAACACAGGATGGGAGGACTTTGTTCCTGAGAAGTGAGTTTGGAGACAGGCACAGGACACTACAATGTTTAAAGATTTCCTGTTTTAAATTTTATTGTGTGTATGTGTGTGGGGTGTGTATGTGTGTGTGTGTTTATGTGAGTGGTGTCTGTGTGTGTGTGTGTGTGTGTGTGTGTGTGTGTGTGTGTGGTATGTGTGTGTGGTGTTTGATGTGTGTGTTTGTGTTGTGTGTGTGTGTGTGTGTGTGTGTGTGTGTGTGCGTGTGTGTACATGCATACGCTATAGCTCCTGTGTGGAGGTCAGACATCTCTCAGGAGTTAGTCCTCTCCTGCCACCTTGTGGGATTCTGGCATCAAACTCAGGTTGTCAGGCCGGAGTGTAAGCACTTTTATCCACTAATCTATCTTGCTGGACCAAGAGATTACCCTCTTGGGTATTCTAATAAAACTGTATCTGACACTTGTGTATGTGTGCATGTGTGTATATATGTGCAGGTATGTGCATGCTCCAGATGTGTGTGGAGGTCAGAGGGCAGCTTGCAATAGTCAGCTGTCTTCTTCCACTATGGCTTCTGGGAATCAACTCATGTTGTCAGCCTTGGTGGCAAGCACCTTCACTCACTGCACCATCACTGGCCTTCCTGACGCTTTCTTTAAAAGCTTAGGATAGCCTAGGTGCTGAAGACACCTGTGCCACCAAATGGCTCACAATTCAGCCTCCTGAGCATCCAGGGCCAGTGGATTACTTACCTACACACTTCGCTAAAGAGGGATTACCATAATCCTCTTTGGTCTAGTTAGTAAAATGGGTTAGTTATTGCAAAAAGTTGCATTTTGTTTTAGAAAGTAGCCTAAGGAGAAAAGGATCTGAATCTTTTGTGTCTGATGAAACATATGGAGCTTATAATTACACACTTCAAAGAATAATATTTGAAATTTTATTCCTGATTAAATGGTTGGAAGTGTGTACGTATAATGCTTAGTGCATAAACAATCCTGTTAAGGACCCTGAAGAATGAACATCTTGAGGAGGGTGTGTCAGTCAAGTGTGTGGACTCTTTAGATTAGCACAAGGATTCTGCCATTTCTACTCCACTATGTCGCTCTCAGAAAGACCGAGGAGGGCGGTCAGACTTCAGAGGACTGGCAGAGTACCCAGCTAATAAACACTCTGGGGGAAATTTTAAATTAAATAAATTCAGTAGGTTATGATGGTGGTTGCAGCTAATGCTTTTGCAAAACTTATTATCTGGGCTGGGGAGGTGGTTCAGATATCCTCTGTGGCCTGACACACACACACACACACACACACACACACACACACACTTACTTTATTTTTTAAAGAACTCAACTATGTGCTGTGCAGTCTTCTTCTAAATGCTATGAATGTAATCATCCAATTTAATCTTTACAATAATCCACAAAATTGGTGCTACAAGTGTTCCCATCTTTCAGGAAACATAAAAAAAAATTAAGTAACTTGTCTAGTAAGGGATGAAGCAGACATGCTGGCTTCAAAGCCTATGTTTTAACCCCTATACTAAGCATTACATGTAGGGAATATGTAAGGGTGGATGGAGTCCAGTCAATTCTAATTACCCGTCCAGTACCTTGGATAAAGGTCCAGGTAGAATTGTCCCAGCACTTCTCCGGTAGCCTTATCCTTCACAGTATAAAGTGAAACACTCTTATTCCAAACATGAGCATCTGCCACTTGCTCAAATGAAAGTCCCAACAACTCCTGGTAGATGCTCAGCAAGCCTTCGGTGACCACCTCGATGGGAAAGTATTCCTTGAGGAACTCCTGGTCCACTGAGTACTTGAGCTCCTCTGTCTGTGTCATGTAGTAATGGAGGTCCCATGCATTGATTTTTCCATCATATTCAAAGCCTCGCTCTTCACATTCCTTCTTCTTCAAGCTCAAAATAAACTCCCGTTCTGCCTCACCCAAGGGTTTTAATTTCTGGCTTAAATCATCTGTGAGGGAAATGGTAGAGTCAGTGATGCATCCTTGGAATCGAGTGCATTCACATGCACTGCCAGTTTTGCCAATTTTTATGTAGTAGACATTGTATTTACTGAGCCATCTCCCTGGACCAGAAACCTTAGTTGTTACTATTTTCTCTTTGCAACAGGGTCTCATTCTGTAGTTGAGGCTGGCCTAGAATTCACAGAGATCTGTCTGCATGCTGCCTGGGCCTGGTGGCAAAGCCTTTAATCCCAGCAGGCAGACAGATGTATGAAAAAAAGACTTAAAATGAATGTGACTACAGCAACTAGGTAACACTTTTTATGCACTCTATATTACCCTTAGATATTAAAAAGTGGACTTTGGTGGGTAAAGTGCCAGTTTTTTGTTTATATAAGCTCTGTTTTCATTTTATATCATATCTCTAGCTTATTTCATACAAATCATCAGTAGCCACAGTACGGTTTTAAAGGCAGTGAACAAAGGCAATGAGGTAGTAGTCTGCTAGTCAACACCCACTATGTGTAAAACGTAGAGTCAATGTCCCATCAAGATATGAGATAGACAACCCCAGCAGCCCCAAGAACTGAGTTCATCTAAGGCAAGAGTGGTCAATACACTTCTTCCTGAAACTAGGATGTCCTCGAAGGCAGTCTAGGTGCCTAGCTGAGGCCAGCGTTAAGGCGATATTATACAGTGAGATGTCATAGGGCATAGGAAACAAAACCACACAACTGACCCTACATAAACAAAGGACTCACCTAGAAAGGCTGCCACATGGCTCGTGCTCTTTGCAGTGTTTAGTTCAAGGACAAAGTCGGCATGGGTGTTATAACCGAGAAGTCTGGCCACTTGTGCTCGAAGCGGGAGGAGCTGCTGCAGAATTACAGTGTTTTCCTAGTAACAAGAACAACAAGAGCAGAAGAAAATGATCAACTGGATGAGAACAGTTACTGCGCTAGTGAGGCTGTGAAACTGTCATATAGCTTTAGACCATCTTAACTACTGCTTCCATTTCAGCACTAGAGAATTTTAAAATGTGATATGTTTTCCTGAAATAATTTATAACATTTATACTTCAGAGACAGCTGTAAGTTCTTCATAAACTCTGAGGTACTGTAAACTCAGGGCAAAAATATGCTTCATGAACTATTGTAATTTCTCACTTATTTTCAATTTTACGAGTCTACCAAATACCCAGAGGTACAAGTTTCTGATGTGTTTGTGGCAAATTATGCACAGCATAAAACTTACCACTTTAACTTAACACCAATTTCTTTTGCTATTCTGTATCTACACATGGAAAATATCATGCTGATAAGGATGGAGAGAAACTGGTAGGTACCCTTGCGTATTGCTGATGAGAATGTAAAGTGGCTCAGAGGCTCTACAGAATATGGTGATTCTCCAAAGTTCCGCACAGATGGCTGGAAATAGAGCTGGGTGGGCACAGTGTTTGCCTGACATTCATGATCCCCAGCACCACATGAACCAGGCATGGGGGTACATGTCTGTAATCTCAGCATGTGGGAGGTGGAGGCAGGAAACTCAGGAATTTCAAGGTCATTATTGGCTACATCAAGAATTTAAGTACAGTCAAGGGCTATATGAGAACCAGCCTCAACAAAACAAAACAAAACCCCCAAACCAAAAACAAAAACCCTACAAAATTATCATATAATCCCAACTCTACTCCTGGGCAGATATTTGAAAGAACCAAGAGCAGACACACAATAGATACCTATAGAACCTATGTTCAAGACAGCATTATTCTATAGTAAAACCACAGAAACAACCAAGTGCCTGGCAACGAAAGAATGGGTCAAGAAAATGTGGTATATCCACCCATAGACATATAATTCATCCTTAAAAAGGAGGGCATTCTGACATGATCCAACGTGGTAAACCTTTATGATAAGATGCTATGTAAATGCGAGTTTACAGACATGGGAACAGAACAAGGAATGGGGAGTTTGTTATGAATGTAGCATCAGTTAGACAGCATGAGTTCTGAGGATGAGTGTTGGTGATGGTTCCAGAAAGACTTAATTCCTGAAGGTTTCCCTAAAACATGCTGAGAATCAATCTGTATAGTTGTGGTCCTAAGAGATGGAATGCTTTAGCACTGTCCTCATGAACTGATGAGAGGCTTGTGAGAGAGGAGGAAGAAATGAGCTTAGGTACTTTCTGCCCTGTCCCTTGTGGTTAAAAAGGGTTTTTCCTTTTTCCCTATGAGCACACAGCATCTTGGATTTCCTGCCTCCCAAATCATGAAAAATAAATCTCTATAGTTTATAAGTTATCTAGCCTATAGTATTTTGTTTGAATAGCACAAATTAATATACCATGGTATATATTTAAAATTGTTTCCATAGGCTTTCTCAACATAGTTCCTATTTGGTACCTCTATACTTAGGAACACCACACGACACACATACATATTTGTTTTGCTTATTTTTGAGACGAGGTCTTACTATGAGGCCCTGGCTGGCCTAGAATTCACTATGTATCCCAAGTGCAGGCTTTGGAATCATGGAAATCTCTTCTTGGTGTCCTGGGTATTGGAATAACATGTGTGTGCCACCAAAGCAGGTTATTTTATTTTTTAACACTAAAAGTAAATTAGCTTTATTTAAATTTTTTTATGTTTTATTTTTTTGTGCATGAGTGTTTTGCTTGAATATATATGGGCACTGCATGTGTGCCTGGTACTCTAGGCATCCAAACAGGTCATCAACTCCCCTGGAACTGGATTTATTGAGGGTTAACTGTCCTTAACCACTGAGCCATCTCTTTGGCCCCGGAAAAGTAATTCCCAAATGTCAAAGGAAAAATTATTAGTCCCAACAATCAAGTCAGCAAATTATTTACTGACCAATTTCTTTCTCATATACACAAATTTTAAAATAATGTACTTGCATGTATCTGGATGGGGGGGAAGGTCATACTGCGCATGTGTGGAGGGCTGAGGACAACTCTCTGGATTCAGTTTCTGCCTTCCATTTTGCTGAGGCAGGGTCTCTCTTGTTTTTATTGCTGCACTGTGTACTCCAGGCTAGCTGGCCCATGAGCCTCTAGGAGGTTCTCCTGCTTCAGTCTCCTATCTCACCTTAAGACTGCTGGGATAACAAGTGTGCCACCACAGCTGGCTTTTTGTGTGGGTTTTCAGGCTCGCACAGCTAGTGCCTTTATCCACTGAGCCATCACCCTAGGCCCGTATTTTCTTTCTTTCTTGTGTGTGTGTGGGTGGGGTGGGTGGGTGGGAGTGTTCAGACAGGGTCTCACTCTGTAGTCTAGGCTAGCCTCAGGCCTCCTGAATACTTGGTTTGTAGATGTGAGCCACCAATCCTGACTTATTTTGAGTTCTGAGACAAAGGCTCATTTTATAGCTCAGGCTAGCCTCAAATCTGTTTTATAGCTTCACTTACTATGCTTCTGATTGGTTTTGTAAAGATGTACTATGGAATATGGAGACTGATCAGAATAAAATGTTGCTGTAACAAAGTGAAAAGGGTGCACAAGCAGAAAGCTACTGGAGAGAGATGCTGCATGCTGGGGAGCTGGCGGCACTCACAATGGGTACACCGCGTATAATTACATCGGTAAAATTTGCTACATCTGTTGTTTGACATAACTTTGAAGATATGCCATGTTGCTATTAGGTTTTAGTTCTTAGTTCTTAGAATTGCCAGGGAAAACTAATAATGTTTGTCACTACGTGCTACTTTTAGAAAAATTTACAGGAAAGAGACAAGCTCAGAGAACTGGCCAGTTTCTAGGACAGGAAATGAAAAGAAGGGCAGCTGGAAGATGGAAGGTCACTATTTGGCTAAGGAGACTTAATGTGGACTCAGGCCTTTGGAAAGCCAGGTGCTCTGCATTTCTAGCATCATGGGAATAGTTACTCAACTACAGAGATGAGTTTGAGAACATTGCCTACTTCTTTTTTTTTCCTCACAAAAACTTACGTTCTCCAAAAGGCCCTAAAGCAGAGTCGTTTAAGCAGATGAACAAACACAGGAATGAATCAGTAAGTAAGATTTGGTAGGAACTATGACCAAAAACAGTATTTGGGTATAGTTATTTTAACTGCTAAGAAGTAAATGTACAAGATGCTAAGTTTTTAAAGAAGTTTTATGACCAAGAACATGCAAAATACTGTGACTATTTGGTTCCTAGCTTAACCTTTGTATTTCAATGTGGCACTCACTAGTAGGACTCTATTCAGCAATCCCCTAAGACCATGGCCATGGAAGAAAATAGTCAAGAAAGAACCCCCTATAGGCAAACATAGGAAGCATGGAATACAATTGGTAAAGACTTCTTGCCAAATCATTTTTGAAAATTTCTGTTATCTCCTATGTTCCTGTTCCTCTTCCTCCTTTTGCTTTTTGAGGCAAGGTCTCATCAGATGTCCTAGGCTGGCCTGGAGCTTGCTGGCCTCAAACTCATAGAGAGCCATGTGCTTCTGCTGGGATGAAGGGTGTGCACTACTACACCTGGCTTGGCTTTTTCCTTCATTGGTTTGTTCCTTCCTGTGTGATTATTCTGTTGTTATTCCAGGACTTGGTGTGGGTTGGAGGTAGTAATTACTTGTCCTTCCTTTTGTAGGTTGCTATATCATGAGACCAAATGGGGAAGGCTGAATGGCAGAGATATTGGTGTTTGGGCCCAAGACAATACATGACTGGGGCTTGACACACGGTCTATGAAAGAAAAACATTCATGGTTACTTGGGTAGCCAGGACTATGGTTAGTTGATTCAGAATCAATTTTAATTTCCTCCTTTTATAATAAAACTCCAAGTCTAGCAAATAGTTGACAACCAAAGACTACGTTTCTCAGGTTCCCTTGCAGCTAATAAGACTATATATAGAGTTTGAGTAAATGGCTATGACCAGAGTTGATAGGTGCTATCTGTATGACTCTTTTTTAAAGTTTTTGAGACAGTTTTTAAAAGATGTGTGACCTATATGTCTTCCATTATTTCCAACAGGTTGAGGAATAGTAATTTCCAGAATCTACCTTGGTAGTTACCTGTTAAGGAGAGATACTTTATCAGCTCTTGACTTTAATGCAGAAAATGAAAACAACTTGTTTGTTTTTACCTGTTCTATTTTTTTTTTTTTTTTGTAATACAGTCTAGCTTGGGGCACATCAAGCAAAATGACAATGAAGAAATGAAAAGGCTAAAATCTTGTAGGTATGTTGGATTAGTAAATGCAATGCACAGGCAAATGGGAATATCAGATATGGCCTGACTTCGACACTGGCAAACAAAGTACATCCTTTTCTTAATATCTTCAGTTAGAATCAAAATAAAGACATTTATGGTACCTGTTTGCACCTTGTATGAAAAGCTGTTTCCATCTTCCTTCTTGTTTCAGGGATACAACATTTCTTCATGACAGGAAAATAGTGGGGATACTTTAAGGTAACCTTGTACTTGTCATCATCTGTTTTTTCTAAACTGTCAATGAAGTCATCAGGAAGAGTACCTGCAAAAAGTCATTTTCTCAGGCATCCATTTCCCACACATACTGTACTGGCTTACTTAGCATGGGCACTGGTGTGGTGACTAAAATCCAAGCAAGAGGATAATTGTATAATCTTATTTGGATTGTATTGGAATAGGGAAGGCAGTGATGAGCCAGGTGGCTCAGGAAATGACAATTCAAAACAGGAAAATGTTCCAGGGCACCTGTGTAGATGGTATTTTAACAGGCTGAATTAAGCCAAAAAATAAAAGACCCCAGAGTAAGAGTCTAGTTTACAGTGTGGGAGACATGGAGAGGCTGTTAAATGAACACCAGTGTAAGTTACCAAGCAAGATTAATCACATGGGTGCTGGGCTTCACACCTGGGTCCTTGGCAAGAGCAGCCAGTGCTCTTAACTACTGACCATGTCTCTGGCCCTAATACTAGACAATTTTTAAAAGAATTCTTTGGATTTGAATTTAGGTTGGAACCTGCAAGGTGATATAATTTGATGTAGCAAAACAACAAAAGTTTACCAAGTTCAGCCTTGGAAAACACAAGGAAAGTGTCATCCTCATTGAGGTTTTTGTTGAAGTCAATGCACAGTTCACTCATTCTTTTCTTCATTGATTTGATTTCCTGGAAGGAAGGAAGGAAGGAAGGAAGGAAGGAAGGAAGGAAGGAAGGAAGGAAGGAAGGAAGGAAGAAAGGAAGGCAGACAGACAGACAAGGCATTAACACTGAAAAAAACTTTTCATTTTCATCACCATCAGCTAACATTTCAATTATACATGAAGTCAGGATTCTGGCTTCTCTCAAAAGTCCTTTCTTAGAAATGCCCCTGCAAAGCAGCTGCTGCCAGTCGGTCTACTACTGCCTAAACACACTTTGTTTAACATTGTCTTAGAACACAGCCGTTGCCTCCCCAATCTCCCCTGCTTCCCCATTCTAGAGCAGCCACATAGTTCAAATACAACCTGATAGTGAACAGTCCAGGATCGTGTCCTCTATACCAGTTAGGCCACCATATCATCTTCCTGCAGTAATGACTGATTCCAATAACCCACCCCTGGCACTCTAACAATTCTGTAAAAGTACTGGGTAGGAGATCCAAGGAGATGACAGAGAACCACAAGAAAAAAATATAAGATAATCTCATTCTTCTGACAGTGCTGGGTAAGGAAATCTACTTGACACAAAGTAATTCTCAAAGTTGGACTTTGGCAAAGCACCTATTGTGTGGCACTGAGACTCAGAGGCAGAGTTCTATGTGTGCCTGCAATGTCAGGGTTTAGATTTGGCCACCTACCTCTAATACTCTCCAATTTCCTTAAGTTGCTTAAGTGGGATTCTGTTTGCTGCAACTAATCATAACTTAATTACTACAATCTTCATGCACCCAACAGAACGGTTGGGTTGACCAGGAAGACAAAGGGTCAAGCCAGTGACACCAGCCACCCAACTATTATGGCCAGGAAACAAAGTGACCAAAGAATACTCAGGTGGCAGAAAGATGCTGACATCTCCATGGCACCTTCAATTCTATCTTGCAGGATGACATCAGTCACCAAATAAAACTTGGTTTGGATGTCTGTTAAACTTATTTCCAGTTCTGCAGTCCACAGAAATGACCTGGAAATAAATCATGAATTATATTTCCTGTCCAAGAAGAATGAAGTTAATTAAGCGGCTGAGTTTATCACAGAACCTGGGAGTTTCCATTTCACACACACAAGAAAATGTTTCAACATCATTTTTCAGGGGCTAATCTCTCTTCATGTAAGAAGTGTGTATGAATCACAGGATGTCCTATTCTAAAGTGCTGGCTTTCAAACTCTCTATCAGTATGGGTTTTATTAAGCGTGATCTCTGTGTGATCAAGAGAGGGAGAATACAGTCAGCTGTATTCTCTGAAATAGGGAATTTACTTTTTTAAAATATAAAACATAACAAAGGATATAAGCCTGATATACATAAAACAAAACATGGAGAGGATTAAAGAACAATAAGGTTGCCTGGCATGGTGGTACACATCTGTAATCCTAGCACTCTGAAGGCAGAGGCAGAGGCAGGTAGATCTGAGTGTGAGGTCAGCCTGGTCTACATAGGGAATTCCAGGTCAAACAGGGTACAGAGTGAGATTCAATTTTTTAAAAAAGGGGCACGTGTGGAGGATACAAGGGTGAACAATTAAGTTATAAGTTGTTCAGTTACTAATGAGGTTAGCAGGAGTTTTAAGAGTTGAAACGGGGGTTGGGGAGATGGCTCAGTGGTTACGAGTGCTTCCTGCTCTTCCAGAGGACCTTTGTTCAGTTCCCAGCACCGACATTGGCCAGCTTACAACTGTGTCGGTAATTGCAGCTCCAGGGCACTGGAAGCTCTTTTCTGGCTCCTGTGGATATCCACACACACACACACACACACACACACACACACACTTTAAAAAATAAAATAAATCTTAAAAAAATAAAAGTAAAAGAACCTAATATCAAATATACTGTAAATGGATTTTTATCATGAGTTATTCTATTAAAACTCACCTCTGACTATTTGCTGGTTCTGTTGCATTTTTTCCTTAAATAAAATGATCGGGGTAGAAGGCAGTAAGAGCGAGTATTCGTGTGCACGAGAGTAATTAAAATGCATCTTACACATATGTAAAATTATCAAAGAACAGAATTTATTAGAAAGTGAAAAGAAACATAAACTCACATTTCTTACTTGTTCCGAAAGATGGAGTCCATTTCTTTTTCCCATTTTAATTGACTTTTCCAAGTATCGCCTGGCTTCCGGCTTTATCTTCTCCAAATCACAGTTTTCCTGAAATTAACAATAATGCCAATCATTTCTGTTCTAATAGAACACAGGCAAGTAATCAGCTCCCAGGCCAAAGCCAGCATACAGCATTCATCATCTCTGTTGGGCCATGAAATACAGGCGATTATGGGGCAGGCCCTCCTAAAGACCTAATTTCTTTAGTGCTTTAGTGAGCTTCTGCTAATTTAAACCAGAAACACTGACTAAATCAAAAGCTAAGCAGGAGAGCTTTGTCCTGCCTCAGAACTGAGAGTCTGAGGCCCTGAAGCGTGTGAGTATAGATGCATCTGCATGGCCTCATTCTGAGCAGTACTCCTTTTACAACAGATTTCTTAATGCAAATCATTTGGGTTCAATTTTCTATCATTTGTTAACCTGGTTCCACTTGAGATGCAGGAAGAGAAATAAGGGGGTGACTTCTGCACAAATGCTGGCAAGGACTCTCTTACCAAGATACCAAACAAGGAGAGCTGGATAAAACCCCAGCAAAAGGCTCCAAAACTTCAAAAATGCCTTCCTGTCACTTGGCGAGGGAGATCAAGGGACTCCAACAGGCTGCATATGAACAAGTATCTGGGGAAAATGAGTCAGCACCCCACAAAAACAGAAGGGAAGCTACTCACCTCCAAGTCTAAATCTGTATGCAGCAGCAAGGTTTTCACTCCAAAGAACAGAAGGCCCTGGAGAAGGCTGGGAAATTCCCCCAGTCAAGACAATAAAAATCCAAATATTCAAGGCAAGTCATAGGATATGTGGTGTGTATCTAAGATGGCTGGTCAACTCATGGTCCCTGGGAGGAAATGTGACTCCAGACAGACTCAGCAGGTACAAAGGACTCGATTTGGCTGAGGGACAATGAGAGCCGTCTGTCACCGGAGCTTACAGACCTCCTGTCAGTTGGACATTTTCTCCATGAAAAACCAGGGCCATCTATCTCTGAGCTTGCCAAATTTCCCAACTGATTAGAGTTTTAAATGAATGGTGTTTAGTTTTAGAAATGGCATCTGAGATGTTGGTGACAGGCAGGTAAACAGAGTCGCATTTTCACTCAGCACCACTCAGAACAGAAACAGTATTTCACATTGCCTACCAATGAAAATCGGTGTCACAGTACCAAAGCACTCCCAACATTACTCAGTGTTTCCTGAGTTTATTCTCAGTAGACGGTAAGGACAGTTAGACTCCTTTTCCATTATAATCTCCCTGTGTCTCCGTGGAATTGTGAGTTTGTGAGCATGACTGGAGTCAGAACTCTCCTGAGCTGGTTTTGGCACCTACTGGGCTCCTAGTGGTTGGTGCCTGCAATGGGAAGAAGCCCAGAATGTCTAGGGAGACAACTTGGCTATAGACTGGCTCCCACAGGGATGGTGAGCAGTTCAAATCACAATGTTCATGCGGATGTCATTAACTGGTGCTCATCTACGCTGGTGTCATTAGCGCCGGGAAGTCTGTCCTGAAGTGTGAGCATGACAACAGGAGTCTCTGGATAGTATGACATTGCAAATTGTAAGGCAGGTTGGGGGTGGAGGAGTATCTAGGCCATACCAGATGCAGTACGGTTAGCAGGGCCTAGCAAAAGCTGAGTATATTGTTAAGGACCTAGGAGATTGAGATCTACAGCAGAGAGGCCTCCCTTGAGGAGCTGAGACATTTGGTCCTAAGCTTAGGACAACAGCTAATAACATTGTCTCATCAGCTGATATGAGTGGCTATTCCATGACCATACTTGGTTACTGTGAATTCTCACAGTAGGTCTACACTTCTATATCTGCAGGGAGACACTCAAGAGCATACATGTAACATTCACAGCCTACATTAAAATGAAAACCACATACTTTCAAAATGAGCAATACAAGTGCAAACTGGTAGAAGGATATTCTGAGGAAAACCTTGGATCTAATTAAACTACCACCAATTAGCATACTGAAATATTTAACTCACCACAAAAATGACACTGAACAAAAATCTGACTCAATAACCAGACCCCTCACCACTCAGACTCTGAGATCTCAGGAAGTTTCCACAGGCCTATGGGAAGAAGACAGAAGCCCTTCTAAAGTGTACCACTGTGCCACAGTCACTCATGGTATTACTGCCTCTATTATCCCCAGAAATGGAAAGCTGCAATGCTCGAGAGCAGTGGTCTTCAACCTTCCCAATGCTGCAACCCTTTAATACGGTTCCTCATGTTGTGCTGACCCCAACCATAAAATCATTTCCTTGCTACTTCATAACTGCAATTTTGCTACTGTTACAAATAGTAAAGTAAATATACGATATGCGACCCCTGTGAAAAGGTTGTTTGACCCCAAAGGGGCTGTGACCCATAGGTTGAGAACCACCATTCTAGATGGTTCTGTAGACCTGCAACCCTGGAGCCACAGCAACCTCAGGGGTCTCTTCAGGCAAAGCTTCTCTCTTCAAGGCATCTAACATTTAATTTGCATGATATGATAGAAGGGCACACTTACCTGTGGGGATAAGATTTATTTTCTCCTTAACCTCCCCCTCTATACATGTTCATGTTTCACATACCAGGTATGCTTGTAAAACCACTTTGTGAAAAGAATTGAGGTCAAATTTAAAATTTTCTAAGGCAACACAGATTTCTTTTTTTTCATTTAAAAGATTTTATTTATTTATTATGTACACAACATTTTGCTTCCATGTATCTCTGCACAGTATAAGAGGGCACCAGATCTCATAATGGATGGTTGTGAGCCACCATGTGGTTGCTGGGAATTGAACTCAGGACCTCTGGAAGAGCAGTCAGTGCTCTTAACCTCTGAGCCATCTCTCCATCCTCAACAACACAGACTTTTAACACGAAAAACAGCAGAGAAAAATTATTTTTTTTTCTTTCAAGACAGGGTTTTTCTGTGTAGCTTTGGAGCCTATCCTGGCACTTGCTCTAGAGACCAGGCTGGCCTCAAACTCACAAGAGATCTGCCTGCTTCTGCATTCCGAGTGTTGGGATTAAAGGTGAGAAAAATTCTTATAATGCTTAGTTTACTGATTTTTCCTCATTACTCCATCATCAACTTTAATTCTTTGTAATTTTTAAAGCCTCATAATAAAAATTAGGTTTTGTTTTAAGATAGAGCCTCACCATGTAGCCCTGGCTATCCTAGAACTTGCTATGTAGACTGGGCTGGGCTGGAAGTCACAGACATCTGCCTGCCTCTTCCTCCCGAGTGCTGGAATTAAATGCAAGTGCCACTACACCCAGCAATTCAAATGTTCTTTATTTTATTCCTTCCAAATCTTTTCTCCATTAGCCCACAATTTTGTTTTTTTCCTTTACAAGAGTTTCATACATCTAGTTTATTGTTTTGATTCTTGACAGTCTTACAATATATTGCTGGCTGGCTGGGAACTCACTATGTAGACTAGGCTACCCTTGAATTAGAGATCTGGTTGCCTTTGTTTTCTTAGTTGTGAGATTAAAGTTGTGTACTACCATGATTGGCTTGATATTTCGTCCTGTTTTTTTTGTTTTGTTTTGTTTTTCCAAGATAGAGTTTCTCTGTGTAGTCCTGGTTGTCCTGGAACTCACTTTGTAGACCAGATTGGCCTGGAACTCACAAAGATCTGCCTGCCTCTGTCTCTCAAGTGCTGGGATTAAAAGTATATGCCACTATGCCTGGCCCTAAGAATTTTTTTTTTGGTGATTTTTTTTTAATGTTAAAAGAAGAAATTATGATGCTCAAAGAACTCTGAAGGTTGACCCTCTAATACATCTAAAAAATGGACTCATAAACTGAATTTGCTAGTCTTCAAATACATCAGAATGTGTTACTGGGGCCTACTGCACATACTAAAATAGCAACAGAACTTGTTTATTGACTCCATTTGCAGTTTTATTCCTGCCTTACACCGCCCTGCAACCAGTGACATTTACTGTATTAATGAGAGATCCAAGGAAGATGACCTCAGGCAGAGGTCTGAATTCCTGCCCTGGAAGGTTGTACAACAACCTGCCTGATGACCAACATGGCACCACAGCTCCACCACACCATACATGCACATGAGGACAATGAGCACACACTACACAGGACACATTTTGTTGGGAGAAATTGTAAACAGAATATACTGTAGGTTCCATTCCGCATATATTTGCTGAGTCCCTATTTATCTCAGACTCCAGAGGAATAAAGAAATAGCTTCTAAGACCTTTAAGTCATATGTAAAGCAAAACAAGTGACTAATGTTAGTATTATGTACTGTGAGGGAAAAAATAGGTTAGGTACTTTAGACAAGAGAGGCACAAAAAAACTAAAGCAAGGGCACCAAGCCATGGTTGATGCTGATGGTGCTTTACATGTGGGCTCCCGAGCTTCTGAAGGCCTGACAAGATTAGAAGCAGTCAAAACACTGGCTATGAAACACTAGACTTACTTTAAAAATTAGGTTTAGGATTAGGGCCTGGAGAAAGGGCTGCAGGTGCTACATTGGGCTGCAGAGGTGGCAAAAAAAAACAAATCTGAAACAGCCTGAGAAGCAGGTCAAAGAGACAGGTGCAGAAGACAAGGTTTTCAAGCAGAAACAAAAAGAAGCAGAAGACACTCAAGGAGCCAAGGCCATGGGGAAGGACCAGCTACAGGTAGAATTAAGAAATCTGGCAAACGTGGAGTCCTAGCACTGAGAGAGAGGAAGTGAACAACCCCCCCCCCCCAATCCTAATCAGGAACTATCTCCAATCAAGAGCCACTGGCCGAGGAAAAATTAGTTTTCTCTGATGGAGTACCACTGGGTCTAAGGGCAGGCTCCATGCCCAGCAGTAAATTGCCAACACAACATGAACTCAATAGCGTTTTTGGAAGTTCTTTGTCTCATAATTCTTTGTCAGGGCCCTCCTTCCCTTTCTTCCTTTTTAAGCTTACATGTCCATTGCATAGTTTCCAGTTTTGTGTTTTTATGAGATTCCTGTGCATGTGAACATGTGTGTCTTTGCATTTATATGTTTCTTGAGCTTCTTCTTTGGCTCTTTTTCTTTTGTTTGT